CTTTCTCAAATTACACTATATTAAATTGCTTTTTTTTTTTTAATACAATATGTGAGAGTGGGAATTAGAACTCATGACCCTCTAATCGGATATATGTGTCTTAATCAGTTGAGCTTTACTCAGATTGACAATCGTCTCTCTAATTTTAGAAAGATAATTAACAAAATACTAAACTCATCCTCSTAAAAAATATTTGTTTCAAGAAGTTTAAAAAGTAAGTCATTTTTAATCGATAAAATTATTTATTATCATTTGTCCAGGAGGTTAACGAAGAAAATAACTAAATTAACTTTAGAGTTTTTTYAAATAATCTATATAATCCATCCTATAATATCTTCACGATAATATAGTTAATCAATATATGATTAATTAGAGGTCACGAGTTCGAATTTCCCGCCCCCAATTGTTGTAAAAAAAAAAGTATAAAAACCAAAACGAATCAAAACAAAAAATACAAAGACAAAATAGTATTGGAAAAAACACACAATGATTCAAACATTTATTTTCCTTTCAATATTTAAATATTAGCTTCTAGTGATATGCATAAGGGTATAATTGAGACACTATCTTCATTCATAAGGTAAAAATTCAAATTGTATAACTTATATCACATAGGGAACTTGTGTTGGCAGCTCATATATATGCATTTGATTCTAATATCAAATTAGAAAATTCTCTTAAGTTTATTGTCAAAYGAGCATAGTTCAACAGTAATTGACATATATCTTCAATCAAGAAGTTATGAGTTTGATCTCAAAAGTTCAGTGTGATATTTGAATGAGATAGATTGTTTCAAATTAAAATTAGTAATTGAATTTACTAATTGAGGTTACACAAAATCGGGGCCAGAACGGATATATTTTGATTTAAGACGAAAAATTAGATCAAAGTTTACTATGTTAAATTTATTTTGTATCGTCCAAATTCCCTTTGTGTATGTGCTCCCGGGAAACGTATAGTACTCTATTCCATTACAAAAATCTGGCGTAATMAAAAAAGATAGACCCAGTACGGTATTCTTTCGAATCCTGAATATGATGCTACCAATAATTGTGGTAAGTCACATATGTCACATATGTCTTTCTCTCATCAATCAGTACAAATAGAAATTACCACATTTTTTTGATGAAAAATGTGGAAAAAAAATAAGAGAGATCCCGTTTGTTTGGGATAAAATTAAGTTATATTATTTGTTCTCTCTTTCACAGGAAAGGAAGAGCTGAATTGATGTATTTTTTCCCCCAAAAGACCTCCATTATATTATTGTGTCCGACTTTGACACTTGATGCCTCTCGATTTGCCTCTATTTTCTTGAGCTACTTGAAAATTGTCCTCATAAACTAAATTGAGTTACTTTCAACTTGTTTCGTCCTCACTCACATATTTCGTAGAAATTTTTTTTAAGAGGCAATCAACTAGTGTGAAGTTACTTAAGGTCAAACATGCTTCATACATGAAGTTCCTAGCAAACGAGTCACACTTAAAAGAAGGTACATGTACACCTTTTTGGTATAGTAGTATGACCGATCATTTCTTTTATGCTTTCCTAAACTACTTTTTCTTATTGCATAGTCTCATAGTCTTAATTCGGTGTGATGTTGGTTCATTTATGTGTTCTTCTACACGAACATTATTGTTTATTTCTTATTTCATAGTGAACATGAGTCAATCTAAAATAAATAAATAAAGGAAAAAATTGATTATTTAAATAAATATGTAAAATTATATTTTTAAAAAATAAAATAAAATAAAATGACTACTAAATTGAGGGAGAAAGTTTGCCTTCTACCTCTCTTATATATAATATTTTAATTTTAAAAATTTAATGACAAAAAGAGAGTACTTTAAAATCTTAAAGTAATTTTTTAAAATCTAAATGTACCAAATCAATAAATTTCTCTTTCGAGAGAGATTGGAAAATAGGGAGGAGTAATGAGAGAAGCATGAAAAATTTTAGGGATAAAATTGTAAATCTATGTGACAAAAATCCTAAAATAATTTTAAAATTAAGGGATGGGTCAAGAGTCTAAGCCTTGAAAAAAATGAGATTATTTTTGCTAACTCACTTTTAGAAAAGGGTGAAAAAAGCTTTGTTGTCTGTAATAATAGGATGGGTGAAATGGAGTAAAAGCTAAGACAAAAGTCATCTTTTAATTTTACTTTTATTATTATTATTTCTTTTTTGGTTTGAGAAGCTACTTTAATAACTTACTTGTCTATTCATTAACGAATTTTCTCCTTTGATGGGACATTTAATTAATCAAAAATATTTACTCTTCGAATGATGACTGATCTTGTCCTCACCACCATTCAATTTTGATAACTAAAAAAAGAAATGCCAACACAGAATTTTTTTTTAAAAAAAAATAATGAATTGTCAAATTTTCAATGGCAGTGAAGATAAGATTTGATCATCACCGGTAAGGAACTAAGTATGTTTCTTTACACTATTCATTTTAATGTTTGAATTCTCCCCTCTTTATAATATAAACTCTACTGTTTTACTTTACTAAAAAGTAAATTCGTAAGTAACGTTAACATTTATAAAATACTTATAATCAGTTGAAATAATAAGGTAATGATTAAAACCTACCCTTTAAAAAGCTTATAAATGTCTTAACTAGCTGTGTTAGGCTCAAATTGACCTATAATAGTAAGTCTTAAAAACAAAAGTAAAAATTATTTTTGAAAAATATATACATTCGTTTCAAACAAGTTCCTGACGTTGAATTCAATAGCATTAATGGTCACTTCAAATACTTTTCTTGGTGCATTTTTTTTTTCTTTTGAGAGAAAAGTAAAATTTAGGAGTAGTCAAAACTCCAAAGTATTGAAAAGAACAGTTTTTGAAAGGAAAAAAAAAAAGGTTTATGGGGAGGTTGAAGAAATTGAAACAAGAACTGAGAAATTCAACTTTAGTATGAAAAATGTGAGCTTTAGACCATTGCATGTCTTTTTTTCTCTTTCCTCTTGTTGTTATGTAAATGTAATGCCTTTCATATTTCAATTCCACTTTCAACTTTTAACTTTCAAACATACCCTTTTTTACATTTTTGGAGTTTCGTGCAATATTTCGTTTTAATAAATTACAATTATAATGACTATGGTATTAAATATATGTGTCGACGTGTCTATTGACATATCTATATATCTAGGGATTCGACATCGACATAAGGAGTGAATCGACATTTCCATTATATTACAAATAATCGACAAAATATAAACAATATCAACAAAATTCCACTAATATAGATATAATATTAATATTAATAATTTTTAACTTATTTAGAAAGGGTGAAACGTGTTAGTTTAAATATTTTTTACGAGTTTACCTCTCGACTTCTCTCTCGGTCCCTGTCCCGATCGACTTGTTTTGTAGAACCTCGACCCTGTTCTGAGGTTGGAGCCCGCAATGAAGCATCTCATGGCCCAAGAAGCCCGATGATGTCAATAACCTAGAGTTCAAATAATGAAACCCTAGAAGGGAGAAAAAACTATAAATAAGGAAAAGGATCACACCTAAAAGGTAAGCCTGAAACCCTCTACTCTCCTCACTCGACTTTCCCGATACTAACTTAAGCATCGGAGCCCGTGTGGCCAAAGCCACACCGATCTAGAGTTGTTCGGTTTTGCAGGTATCCGATTCCGTGAGTATCGATCTTGGTGTACATTTGACGAGAATCAAGGATGCTAAATTTCCGGCATCAACAAATTATGTTCTTAAAATTTTAGATGAGGTTTTTTTAAACATTTAACATTCATCGTAAACCAATACTTAAAAGGTGATATGTTTACGAGTCTAGCTTGTTACCTTACCAAACCACATTAAAAAAATAAATAAAAAGACCAAATTACATTTAATGCTTAATAGGCATATATATGCTCATTGATGATGATTATTATTATTATTAACCACATCATTAGAAAAATTACAGTCCAATAATATATTTTCTCAAAAAAAAAGTCATCCATAAAAATAAACTATAAAAAAAATCCTTTTTTATTAAAGGAAAAAACAGCTTCAGAAAGAAGTCATCCAACTCAATAGTTATATTACAAAATTTGGTCCCAAACTTTAATAGATCTTTTAATTTTTAATATTATGTTTGATATATTTTTAAACCTAAGATAGAACCTTAAGAATTTTGATAGCTATATTACAAAATTTGGTCCCAAGCTTTAATAGTATTTAATAGACTTTTTAATTTTTAATATTATGTTTGATATATTTTTAAACTAAAGAGACACAACCTTAAGGACCTATTAGTTATTTTTTAAAAGTTTAAGAATTAATTAAATTCAACCATAAAATTTAGGGACCAAACTCATAATTTAATCCATTTTTATTTTAAAAAATTCACCACTGAAATAAACACTAAAAAGTTATGGTTAAAAGCATCTCTATAGTTTCAAAAAAGCGTTTGATTTCTTATTAAAAAAAAATAGTTTCAAAAAAGTAAAAGTACTCTAAAAAATAATTTTTTAAATAAATAAAGCAATACCACAAATTGAGAAAGATGACAGCTTCTTTGTCTTATTTGTTCAAATTAAATAAAATAAAAAGGAAAATCCATAAGGATTTTAGCATATTTGTAAGAATTGGTTTGGACTTCTTCTTTGCCTTCTAGAGGAATTAAATATAATATTTTAAAAAAAAATCAAAACCCATTTTCTTCATAAATCAAATGATACTAATTCCTTCTAGAAGACCAAATTTAAACTTAGTCCACCTCATCATTTTCCTTCTAGAAGCCCTCCTCTTGCATGTAGTTGTCAATTTTCATTTCCTTTCACAAGTTGCCTCCTTTTTTCCCAAAATTACAAAAGAGCCCCATTTTTTACACCAACTTTAGAAGAAGACCCACCACTTTTTTTCTAATCTCAAGGGCAGCCCATGTTTTTAACTTTATTTTAGTCTTTGCACTATATAAGGCCTCAACAAACACCTCTCTTTTGAATAGAAATTCTCTCTTTTGGCTTTTGGCTTTTGTTTTTCCATCATGTTCAAAACTCCTCTCTTCTTCAACCTACACCACCACCATTTTGCTCCCAAGGATGGCTGCCTTCAAGATTTCTCATCTTACTTGCTCTTCGAGGCCACGGGCGACTCGGAGGCTGATGCCTCCTCGGTTGACCCCGGTGGCTCCTCCGCCGCCCCGGGGTCCCCAGAGTGCAACGATGCCGAGTCTTGCACCGATGACACTCCTGATTGCGACGAGTTTGATATGGATGAGGACGAGGATCATGAGGATGGAGAGGAGGGGGAGAATTATGAGAAAAATGATGATGAGGTGGTTGAAAGCAAGGCAACAAAAGGATTCACAAAGTCTAGTGCTTCTATTGATTCAACTAAGGAGTTTAAAATGCTGAATGAGGTGGACAAAAACAGGTTGTTTTGGGAGGCTTGTTTGGCATCATAATGACATGTCCCAAAAAAATCTTCTTTTTTTTTTTTTGGTTTTTTTGTTCTTTTATGTGCCATTTTTCCAACCTCCTTTCTTTTCTTCTAATGTTTGAAAGGTTTGTGCTAAAAAAACAGAAGGAAACTTGTGCACTTCTTCTTCTTTGACTTCTTGCTGTTGATGTTATGATGTACATGAAAGTAAAGAATGGGTTCTAATGATCCATTAATGGCAGTTTAAAAACATAATTTTGACTTCAGTTTTTGCCTTGTTTTCTGGGTTTTCATTTGATGGTTTAGAGTTCTCAAGATTGGTGGGTAGTTTGTTTTAGGCTGAACCAAGAAAAGGGTGAGTTTTAAATTTCATAAAAAAACTCGAAATCTAAAGTTCAAAGCAAAACGATACTTCCTCGGTTTGGTGGGTAGCCGTCGTAGTTTGAACTCATGTTTTCTAAGAGGGTCCAACTCATAGTGGTGGCCATTGGTGTTTAAATTTTGACCTTGTTGTCAAAGTGGCTTGAAAATCATGGCCATGGGTCTCCATTCCGATGTGGCCGATCATCCTCTCGAACGATATTTTGATCATTGTCTTGATAAGCTATTGGTCTCACCAAATAGATAATTACACGTGAGCCCCTTCCTCGGATGGATTCTTCGTTTTTCTCTTAAGCAGCCGTTTTTTACTATTGTTTTCCTCCTTTCTCCCCAGGAGTAAAGGATTATTGGCAATATTTCAAGACATGAGCCCCTCCTTGGTAGTCCCATTGGTTTTGTCTTGGTCATACCGACTTTGTTGTCTCAAGTTCGAACTTTCGAGTAAACTTAATAATCAAAAACTCTCGACGTCTTTCAGGGCCTTAGAGCAGAGGCAGGTGCCCTTGAGTATAACGAAGCAAAGCTCCGACCCCGATTATAAAAAAATATATATTTCATGAACAAGAATCAGATAACTACATAATAATTCAACAGATGAAAAAATAAAAAGAAGCGGAAGTAGAAGACTGAGGCTGAACCCAGAAATGATCACCTTCATGCTTAATATCAGTGTGATTATAAACCAAAAGTTATGTAGAGAATAGAGATGGAGTTTGAAAACCAAATTATTAAACGACAAATTTGTCCGATAACACAGTTCGATCGACATTTCGGTTACAAAAAGAAACAAGTGAAACGCGTTCAGCTCGAAGCTAAACCTTAGAAATCACAAAAACACACACAAACAATCCTCTCCTAATTTGCGTTTTTTTTTTGGTCAAAGCCTCTTGCTAAACGTTGTGCTATGATACAAAAACAAAAACAAAAAAAGCAAGCATAACTTTGAACAAGTGAAAAGAAAGCATATCCCGAAGTACTGCGGTCGTTGTCGATGAGAGCTGTTAGACTGATTCTTCAGAAACGACGACCATGGGCATCGATAAAACAGGTTCCCTCATTTTGTCATCCATCTGAATATCAATGGAGGAGTTATTACATGCTATGGGGTGGACATCTTTATGAATTCTTTGTTCCTCGTCTTCGTGCAAACTCGTGCCGGAATCTTCTCCATCACTAGAACTCAGGCATGAGTTTCCATTTTTACTATCGGTAAACGATAAACTGGACTCGACATTAAATCCCGAGCAGCTTCTTGGACTTGAATCAATTTGCAGGTCGCCTCCTTGTCTTGCTGATCTGCAAGTTTCACTTTTGGTTTCATTCAGTTGCCTCAAGAAGCATTCCTCTATCTCACTTAATGATCCTTCATTTTCTTCTTCCTCTCCATCTTCACTGCCGTGATTGAAATGGATGACATCGATCTCCCCGTCGGAGTTTGGCCCTCTCGATTCGTCACCGGTATCCATGTCTTCCTGACTATCAAAATCTTCATCCATTTGCTGATCAGAAGAATGAGACGACATGGGCGAATACCCTCCCGAAGCAGCCTCTTCCCGCTCTCTTAACGTTTTCATGATGAGTGTTTTGAGTAGGTTCATTACTTGAACAGCGTGCATTAGAGCAGTCAATGGATCAGACATCTGTTCGAAACAAGAACAAACAATCAAACAACTTTAATGAGTCGAAAAACCGCGATTTGTACTCATTCGTCTAGGTTTATACCTGAGTCATGTTGGGAGCAAAAACCATAGCAATGTTTCTAGCATTCATTTTGTTGGAATCTTCTTCCTCAACAACATCAGCCATAAGATCCACGGCCCAATTCAGCAAGGAAGCCTCAGTTGGCTTTAGCTGCTTAACGAGCTCGACCGACTCCTCTTCGGTGTTACATTGCAGAACTTGCTCGGGAGAGAGCCCGTCGAGCACTCCGGATGGAAGCTCTCGAAACCATGCCTTTATTAGGCCAGCCAAGCAGTGGACATCAATGTTTTCAGGTATAATCCCCCTGTTCAATTTGTCCCTCACTTGCTCCTCTTGGCTATTTTCAGGGTTTATCCGAAAAATCCCTTCAGCCTGCAGCGAAAACCGAAGAAGAATCACCACGAAAAACATATAAACATACAACACACAGATCAGATATAAAGCGATGCGCCATTAACCACAATCTCGGTACCTTGAGCCCTCCTTGACGGTACAACCGATCCTGCATTAGCAAGAGTATCATCGGTACGCTGTTTCCTCTCGAATCAGTAGAGCATTGCATCGATTCAGCTGATACCCCAAACACACTAGCACTGTAAAGCAAGAGGTTCATAAATTAGCTCAAAACGAACAAAGAAAACTGAATCATCGGAGAAATGGAGCGTTATGTCCCGCTCATTGCATTACGCTCATGGCCCACCCCACCAATCTCCTCAAGGCTCCATCATCCCCAGACCAGTTCCAAGAGACAACATTTTCATACCCAGTGACATTAAACTGTAAACTATTTCATGACATAACCAAGTCTTAAACCTTGATATATATATATATATTTTTTTTTTCTTTGGTTAAGAAATGTCTTAGTTCTCTGTTATACTCCATCTCAAATCAGTTAAAATGGAATTGTATTGGGAGAAGAAGGTCGATTTTTCATCCTCCCATCCACCCATTCATCTCAATAATGGCAAAAAAATTGGACTTAGAAACTATAAAACTAAAAAGACCAGACGAAAAGATCAAATTTCAGCCCAAAAAAAAAACGACCCAACTCAACATTTGAAGCCAAAAAGGTAAGATTAGCTCCTTTAAGTAGCAAAAATAGCAACTTAGAACCTCAAAAACTAAAAAACCAAGCAAATGCCTCAAATTTGAGCCCAAAAAACAACAACCCAACTAAACATTTGAAGCCAAAAAGCCAAAACCAGACCCCAAGAACAAGAACCCAGAAAGGCAGAGTAACAAATAGTTCACCTGGCACTTGGAACAGAGCTGGGAATCTCAACCTCAAACTCCACAGGAAGACCCAGAAAGCCATTGAAGCGGTCGAATGTAACATGGGCAATATGTCGAACATTTGTAGGCCATCCGATTTCCATGGGATGGACGGCGGAGATGAGGTCCTCCCGGCGGTCGACACGGCAGTAGACCATGGATTTCCTCAAAGCCGTCAGCAGAACATCGACCAGAGACAGCTGATTTTGGTCTTCGCCCACTGAGCCTTTGGTTCCTTTCAGGATTTTGCCTCCGCCGCACCCTCCTCCTCTTGTCACCATTACAATTCCTGTCATTTTTTTCTTCTCTCTGTCTCTCTCTCTAGAAAATGAGGGGTTTTTGAAATTCTAGAGAGATGGGTTCTTCAATGGCGAAGTGGCTTTGTTTGTTTGTTGCATTGAAGAAGTCCCTTCGCCTTCGGTTGGTTCTTTGAAGTTAACAAAAACTTTCAAAAAAAAGGTTTCAAACGGCCACTTGAGTTTTCAAAATTTTTAGCTTTTTGAAGAGCTTCTGTCTGCACACACCACATTGCTCATCGCACCCAACGAATAGTTTCTCTCTCTTTTGGTTAAAAAAAATATATTTTTCTTTCAAGGAACGATTAGTCTTGTATTTTTAAATTATTAAATTTTATTTTTGAACTTTGGTACGTAGCCATTTAATTGGTGTAGTTTACATTTGTATCCACGTAGTTCTTATCATCAAATTTATTTATTAAATCTCTTGCACATGTTGATTGATGAACCAGTGAGGGACGAAATGAGTTTATAAATTACAAATTTAATTAGTAGTAATTTGAAAAAACTGTGACCAAATCGTTACCGAATAAAAAATTTAAGAACTAAATTATTTCAAAAGTAGAGTGACCAAATATGTTTTCTAACTTTTTTTTATTAAATTACAAATTTAGTTTTGAAACTTTTATAGCGATGTTTAGTTAAAGCATGTCTTCAAATTTCAATATCATGTCTAATAGAACATTAAACTTTAAAAAGTATTTAGTAAATTTTCAAATTTTCAAATTTTTGTTTGAATTGAGAGATTAATAACTTATTAATCACAAAATTCGAGTTTAATAGGTCATTAAATTTTAAAAAATGTCTAATAAATTATTAAGAATATATTAATCACAAAATTAAAAGTTCCAAACAAGACATTTTTTAAAATTATAAAATCTATAGACTAAATATTGAAACTTTAGGGTCATATTATACATAACTCTAAACATTCTTTTTCGTTGAATAAGAGAAAAATTCTAAAAATTCAGGGACCACCTATTTTCAATGTTAATTCCTCTACTCCTTTTATGTGTGATCAATGACAATTTATGTGATAATAATAAATACGATGAGATGAGTCTAGTTTTAATATGTAAATTAATATTTACGATAATTTCAGGACTAAAATAGAATATTTGAACGTATAAAAAGTAAAAAAGATTGAAATTATTATGTTGTAAAACAAATTCATTTAGTTAAAGAAAAAAACAAATTAGAATGACTTAAATTCAAAATAGTATAAGCATTTGCATGGTTTTTTCAATGAATAATAGTTGAGGTGATCTTCATATCATTTTCCAATAAAATTTAAATTTTAATGTGGAAGAATAAAACTTTGGGCCCTTTGAATATAAAAATTGGATAATTATTGTTGAGGGCCAAATGGGGACAAATTTCATATTTCCAAAGTTGGGATTTGCTTTTTATGCCAAATTTCATTATTATTGGTTTTTTTTCCTTATATAAAAAATTTCCATAGATTTTTTTTGCTGTCTCAATCAATGTTCCCTTTTCCCTACCTTGATTTTTGGATATTTTGCTTATAGCTTGATTATTTCATAAAAAATTTGTCGTTAATAATGTAATAGAGTAATGTCACATCACAAATTATAACAAATAAGTTAAAATCTTTAAAAAATTAAGAGGCATTAAATCTAGTTACAAAATTTATCTCAACATTATATTTCTATTCAAAATAATTTATGATAAGTATTCTTTGATAAAAAAAAGAGAGATATGTTTCACTTCTGTAGCATGTAACATTTTATCCCTTCGAATAGAGTGTCAAGAAAAAATAAAGGTCGGTTGAAATTAATTCAAGAAATTACGATTTGATGTTGATATTAAAGGAAAAAAAAAGATATTTTAGATTTAAATGCTGTTTTGATTTTTCTACTTTCGACTTTGATTCATTTTAGTACTTATTCTCGTTCATTTTGGTCCTTATATTTTTAAAAAGTTGTTATTGTGGTCTCATCATTTAATTTTTATCTCATTTTTTCTAATTATAATTTTAGCATGACAATATACTCACTAAATTTCTTAAAATTTAGTTGTGTAAAATAAAATTTATCTTATTAAAATTTTACGAACATGAACCATATCGATTACCATTCATAAACAAAAATGAATATTAGAAAAGTACAGTAACTAAAATGAAAAAAAAAATAATTATATATAAACCAAAATGAATCAAATTTGGATAAAATAGTATTTAAATCAATATTTTATTTTTGAAAGTTAAATGAAAATGATGGCATTTGTTTTGTCGGTTGATAGAGAGAGAAAGTGGGGCCCACATGAAAGGAGCGGACCAGATTGAATCTAGTGGTGGGGCCCGCGATTTGGTATCCTAAATCCTAAAGCAGAGGATGAAGGAGGGCCCCACAAAATCTCCCTCCAAAAATCAAGGTTTGAATTTCAAATAATAATATGAGAGAGAAATTCATTTTTTATTTTTTATTTTNTTCAAAAATCCAACCTTTCTTGCATTCTTATTAATAGATACTCACATGGTGATGAAATTGAATTTTTTTTTTTGTGGATTTTTCTACAATAAAATTTGGCATTTTCCTTTTGTCATAGGAAAGAAAATTACAATTTGGGCCCTTATAATTCGTACTCGTAGGATGAATTTGAAAGTCGTAAAATGATAGATATCAATTTGAAACTAAACTACGACCTATAAGAATTCAAGTGAATGTATAATAGGTGTAGAAAAATCAAGACAAAGAAAATTTTGAATCATGTACAAAATTTTGAGTTTGAACGATAAGGATGTAAGAAAAACCAAATTTACAAAACTAAAGTTTTATTTGACCTTAATATTGTTAGATATGAAATTTTCTCCTAAAATCCTATGGTGTAAGGTTCATTCAATAAAACCATCAATTTGAATATAATTACACATCTATTTACCAAGATAATAGTTTCTACTACCAATACTACATCTTACTAAATTGAAATCAAGCGCTAGTACATTAAAAACTATTGCAAAGTGAGATCGGAAATGAAAAAAATACTAGTTTGGTCCAATTGTCTACTTTTAAAAAGCAACTATTTGTTCCCTATTTTCAAAATTTTAATATAAATTCTACCGGTAACAAGAACTTTTTAATATAAAGTTATTGTTACGTTTTAAGAAATATATCGAATGTAATCTCATGTTGAAACTGTGATAGAAAAATAGAATTAAAAAAATAAAATTAAGGGACTAAAATGGTTAATTTTTAAAAGTATATAGACTAAAACGTACATTTGGAAAGTATATGAACTAAACAAAATCAAAGTTACAAAAATATGAAGTCGACCTTTGATAAGAATAAGACATGGGTTCCACATTTTAGAAGGAAATGTCATTTTTCCATTAAAAGAATTATTAAAATAAATGTCAAATCAAGATTCTCCCACCTATTTTAGGCAAAATATAAATACAAATATATATATGGGTTTGTAGTTGTACTATCCAATGAGAGTCGAGGAGAGAATCCAGTGCTTTTTAGGAGCTTTTTTTTTTTTTTTTAATTTCTACCAAAATTTAGACCAATGGAGGAATTTGTGGATTAAATTATCAAACATATATATAGCTTAAATTTGTTTTTAGTCTTCAAATTTTTATTATTTTGATACTCATTTAAATTATTAATTATAATCCTCGCCCTCCCATTGAGTTTCTCATCTAAACCCTATATCAACTAATAACCCTTGGTCTTTGAAGTATATCTATAGTATATATAAAAAATACGGGAGAAACTTTTTCTGTTTTTTAATTGAAACACTCTTTATAAATTTTGTCATTTATCTCTACAGACCTCCTCAAATTCCATGAATTCTCTCTCCCACGCCACTCTTTCTCCCTCCAAATTTCCTCAAATTCCACTGACTCTCCCTCGTCCCAACCACTCTTAATTTCTAAATATTTTCTCCAAATTTCTTACTCAGATTATCACTTATTTAAATTTATTTAAAAATTGAAAAGATGGAGAGATAGTATTTAAAAAGAGAAAAAAGTTAGAGAAAATTAGAGGGATGGGGAGAGACAAAAATTTGTAAAGATTGAGAGATAGTATTTAGAAAAAGAAATAAAATTAGGGAAATTGAGAAAGATAAATTTTATGCGCGCTCACTAATAATATTAATAATACACAATATATTTTCATTTTTTTGAGGAAAGAAAATAGAGCGGGGTAAAATATTATGAAAATGTGTAAGATTTCGACTCATTAGCTTATTACATTAATAACTAATATTAATACCCTTCAAAAGATTTTTTTTTTTCTGAAGGAACATTTTAACTTTAAAAATGATGATGATGTTAAATATATTTATTTTCAGTGTAAAACATGGGAAAATAAAAAATTTTTACAATATTATTTAATTTTATCATAAAATATAGTAGATTATCAAAAATGAACAAATCAATTTAGAATATGCAGTATTTTTTTTAAATTTTAAACCGTTTTCAAATCAGAACTTATTAAAAAGCTAAAAACGAATAGGCAACATTGAAAATTAGGAATTTCCAGTTTTTAATATAGTAAATCAAATATTATAGGTATCCTTTTTCTCCAAAAGATATATATATATATATATTGATAAAGATTATTATTAAACACTTTTTTCCCTACAAAAAGGAAAAAAAAACCAAAAGACTCTTCTTACCAAAAATCACTCAAGAACATGTCAATAAATCATTCCACCAACCAAATTTGAAAATCAGACTATAACAATATCCTATTTATCACATGAAAAACAAACAAATCTAACCATAAACCACCAAAATAAGTAAATAAAAATATTAAAATCTCAACCAAAAAACCCATGATTTATAATCCACATCATACCATGATATAAATAAGAGGTAATTATACCTCAAAAAAATAAAAATAAAAATAAGAGGTAACTGCATAAATGGCATACAATGACTATTTATTTAAAATATAGTATAAAATTTGCAATTACGAAAATAACAAAATTTTTAAAAATTTCACGACTTCTCATATTTTTGTGTTTGTCAAATATATTAACAATTAACGAAACCAATGCTTGAATTATTTAAACTAAACATACTATTTTTAATAGGTCAAATCAAATGTTCAAAAAAGGAAGGACATACAATAACTAATTAACGATAGTTTTATAACAATTCAAGATTATTCAAATTTAAAACGCATTTACCATATTTGAAATAACAGAATTCAAATTTTTATAGAGGAAAAAAAAAAGAACTCATTCAAAATATATGTTTCAAAAGCATCAAACCAATCATTTAATATATTTTGGTATCCACATAAAAACATAAATTTAATCATAAATTAGCAGCAAAAGTAGATTTCAATCAACCATGCTCAAAATCAAACAATTCAGCCATAATAAAAAGATTTATTAGAAACATTGACACAATATTACCTACTCCTAAGTTATGAAATTACACCCAAAAAAAAAAAAAAGGCACAATGAAAGCAATCAAAAGCATGATCAAAGAAATCATCCAAACTTAGGTGAAAAGTTAAAAATAATTCGCACCCCCAACAATCAAAGGAAAAAAAAAACGGTAAAAATTGAAAAATAAATATAATAATAATAACTCTCAAATAAATGAAATTAGCATCGACCCATAATTTATGGATCCTCCAAAACAAGCATAGCTCAGTGGTAAATTGGCATATACCTCCAACTCAGGTTGTGAGTTCGATCTCCCAACCTGAGTTCGATCTTCCACCCCAACATATTGTACTAAAAAAAATAGAATTTATCTAAGAATCAAATGATAATCTTAATTAATAAAATCATAACGTCTACGCATAATTCAGCAGAATAACCACCATAGTTTGAACTCTTTTTTTCTTTTGAAGCAACAAAGTTTGAATTCATTCACTCTTTCTAATATGATTCCTCTCCAAGAAAATTGAACCCACCATAGTTTCGCTCTCCAACGTTTGCTTCAACTAGCACATACAAGATCAATTTCAATTGAAAAAGACTGAAAATTTAATTGGAAGTGTCGAAACCATATGTCAAGTCGTCCAGCAAATGCTCATATAGAATCGAAAACCCTTCTCGATCTCATAGGATTTATCAGTAAAAAAAGAAGACAAAACAAATAGTAAATCCATTACTCTTTCCATTGGCCCCAAATGACCAACTGTGCCAATCTAGGGAGGTTACAACTTTCAAAAATGCTAAATTACTATCCAATGCTACATTCTATGGCCACATTACCATCATATATATATCCCAATAACCATGGAATAAATATCAACACAGATTCTCAATATAACAAATATTCCAAGCAATTGCAAAAGAATCATCCATTTTCTTGAGGCTCAAGATCTACCAAACTAGACAACAAAAGCAACTCATTTACCACTCTATAAACTTGTGAAGAATGAGGGTGAGAAGTATCAGCAACTAAGAACTCATGAAACTTACCTCCAACCTCTATCAAGCTATGCCCAGGAACCTTCTTCACCCCTCTCTCTCTCATCATCCTTCTCACCATTCTCACATCTTTCCATTTCTTCCCATCAGCACAAATATTTGCCAAAAGGGTATAAATCCCACTGTCCTCAGGATCCAATTCCAGAAGCTTCTCAGCTGCTAACTTAGCCATTTCCACATCCCCATGCTTCCTACAAGCATCGAGCAGAGCTCCCCATGCCCCTTCACTTGCTTCCATCGGCACCTTCAATATTAACTCGTAAGCTTCTGTCAACAGCCCGACTCGACTGAGCAAATCCACCATGATGGCGTAGTGTTCCCTCTTCGGTTCGACTCCATGGCTTCTCTCCATGCTTTTGAAATGCTCCTGACCTTCGGAAACAAACCCGCCGTAACTGCAAGCCAATAGGACGCCGACGAAGGTGATGTGGTCTGGTTTTAGTCCCGAGCGTTTCATTCGGTCAAAAAGAGTGAGAGCTTCCTCGGCATGGCCATGAGATGCATATCCTGAAATCATGGAGTTCCAGGAGACCAGATTTTTCTCAGGCATGGAGTGGAAGAGATTTGCAGCTGCATCAATACTCCCACATTTGGCATACATGTCTATTACTGCATTAGTCAGAATCAAACTAACTTGAATTCCAATTTTATTGACATAATTGTCATGAATCCATTTGCCCATTCCCAAGCATCCCAATTGGCCACAAGCAGAAAGAACACAGACCAAAGTGTCCTCTGTTGGAACCAATCCAAAAACATCCACCATGTTCTGAAATAGCTTCAAAGCTTCCATTGGCTGACTGTTTTGGGAATAACCAGCTACCATTGCATTCCAAGAAACAATGTTTCTTTCAGGCATCTCATCAAACAGCTTCTTTGCAGATTCCAAATCTCCATTTTTAGCATATCCATTGAGCAAGCTAGTCCATGAGAAAACATCCCTACATTCCATTCTATCAAAAATCTCTCTAGCAGTAACCAAACAGCCACATTTCACATACATATCCAACATTGTGTTGAGCAAATTAACACTACACCTTATGTTCTTCCTCATTATATATTCATGGAGAGTCCTCCCCATTATAGAATCTCCCTTTTGTGAGCAAGCAGAAAGCAGAGTAATCATTGTGACCTCATTCGGTTCAACGTCACTTGACAACATCGAATCGAATAACGTTATGGCTTCATCCAAACAATTGTGTGTTGTGTACCCATTGATCATCGTCGTCCAGGTAACAACATCCTTCACAGAACTTTCATCAAACACTTGGCGTGCAAAGAAAAGGTACCCAGTTTCAACATAGTACTGAATCAACCCGTTTCGAACCAGCAATTCAGAATCAAACCCCAATTTCCAAATCACACAATGCACCGCCATTCCCTCTATTTCTCCCGCGAATTGGCCGCACGCCTTGAGCGCGAAAACGAAGCTCCCACAATCCAATTCGACGCGGTTCCGAATCATCTGGCGGAAAAATGAGAACCCCATTGAACGATTTCCGGCGCTGCAGTAACCCTTAATCATGGTGTTCCATAAAAAGCAGTTGGGTTTTTCGATTCGAGCGAAAACGAAATGGGCGTAGCGCATGTCCCCGGAATCGGAGAGCGCGCAGAAAGCTACGACGCGGCTCGCCGGGAAGATTTGGTTCATGAGGCCAGTGCAAGTCATGTGAGCATGAATTTGCTTCAATTGGAACATGGAAGAGCATGATTGTAAAATTAGCAGAGTTGGGTTGGAAATGAAGACGTTGGCGAGCGAATTCCATTTGGGTTTTCCGGCGGAGGTTGAAGATGAGAGTGATCGTAAAAAATGGGGGATTTGGAGGCGAAGATTGAGCGGGAAGATTAAGAATTGGGTTGGGTTTTGAATGGAGGAGGAGAAAAGGGGTTTCATTCAAGTGGAGATTCGTGCATTAGAATCAGGAGTGCTCGTCCCGTCGGTAGATGATATATTTGCAACTTTTTCGTCGCGAACGATTTGGGGATTTTTTTTTTCTTTTTTTAATAATACTATGCTTCGTATTTATTCCAAATGTATATCAATTCCTAAACTATTTTCAATAATAATGTTTCGAAAATTATAGGACGTCAGCCTGATGCTGTGTATTTTTTTCTTAATTCTGACATGTCGTATCTTGAAGAGAAGATATATATCTCAATTATACAATGGAGATTTGAATCCAAGACCTCTAGATTATAAAACATTATTCTTGTTTGGGGTAGAATAAGTTCGAAATAAAACATTATTAAAAAAAAAATCCAAAGATTTTGCTGCTAACATTGTATCATTGCACGAGTCTCTAACAATGCTCCTAATTCTATATTTTCAACTAATACGAAAGCATGAGAGTTAGGTTTAAAAACTATCATCGTTGAGCTCTAAAACTATATTCAAAATTTGATAAAGCAATTCTTCGTAGGGGTGTTCAAAAAATGCAGGACCAAAAATACCGATGAACCTAATTCAACGTGTATTATTTGAGTTTGATTATAAACTTGTTTGGATTGCATTGGATTCACATAAACGAAAAATTTTGTGAGTTGAGTTGGATTCAATCTAATCAACTAAAATTTATTATTAATTTTAAAAAAATTTAATCACCATAAAAATTATATAGTTATATTTATTTTAATTTTATTTCATTCCATAATTGATTATGAATTATATGAATTATTTATTCAATTAGGAAGTTCAAAAACTTTTTTTTTTTTAATTCCACCCATAAATAAACAGTGACTTATGATCACAACTCAATGATAGTATATAAATAAGTGATCTCAATATCTAAGATGTTACCATTTTTTTTTTGTTATACAATATGTTGATTCAGGATTCTGTCTAGCTATCAAAGTTGGCAACGATGACGAGTCGACAAGGTACGACCTTAAACAAGTGAGACCTACAAAAAGAAACAAACACTCTGATGATTAAGTCAGTATAGACATGAGTTTAAGTAGGTGATTCTCGGAACATAATTGCGTACCTAAATAGAGGGAGGAGGGAGGACATCACTGTTAGAACCGCTCTGATAGATGGTTACTAGCTATCAATCCCCGAGTCGATTGTTGGACCTGAGGTCGGTAGAAGAGAACTTGGATGATTCTCCGATTAGTTTATAGTCTTCAGCTCAATTCCAAAGGTAGGTCGATCTCACTGTTAACTTAGTTGGACTAATTTGACGATACCTAGCTGACTTAAATAGTGCCTCAATCTAAAAATAACCATAATTCCTTAGTTATGGCATGAACTTGCAAATCCAATAGCATAGTTTATTAGACCATCATCAATCTTCTCAATAGTATTGGTAGCCCAATTGATCGGATTTGTATTATTCACAAATTAGATTATGCACCCATATTTGTTGAACTCACAAATTAAAAAATAATTTCTGGAAAACTTTATCCATTTTATTCGATAATTTATAATTTTCTTTTTTTCCGTCTTTCTTAGAAATACAAAAATATTAGCTTAATCTCAAAAACTAAAATTCCCTCTTTATAAGGTTTTCAAAATTATATTAAACTATAGATCATCTTCATTTTTTTTATTGCTTTTTTTATTCCAACAGAACGTGAGAGTAAAAATTCGAAATCACATCTTTTTTGTCAAACATATATATTATATCACAAATACATAGCAGAAATCCCAAACTACAATTTAGAATAATTAAAAATATCTTAATTGTTAGCTACTTAGTCTTTCAATTTTAAAAAATATTAAGTTTAAATTTCTATCCTTGAATATTCACGTCCTGGTCCTTGAACTTTTAAATAATTGACGTTATAAGATTTATGTCTATTAAGTCCCTAAAAACATTTAAACTAGATATAAGGCAATAAATAAACATAATAATAATAAAAGAAAAGTTTTTTTTTTTTTTTTGTGTAGCTAAAACTTTCTGTTACCCATAACAAGTCAGGGATTAAAACAATAAATATTTCACAATCTACTTGTGACTAGATTTTAAACCCCACAGACAAAATTGGAGCCTTGTTTCTTTCAATCTTAAAATTTGAAAACTGAGAAGGTACCTTACAAACAATTAATTCAAAAACAAAATGTCATCATCTTCCAGCGATTCTAAGTAAAGGTGAAATAATACCTTGTATCTCCAGCAATGACTGTTGTATCCGAATCTCTTCGTCGACAGATCGCTTTAAGTTTCGAACATGATCTTTCAGGGCGCCCGAGGCTCTAATATCTTCAGTTCGTAACTCGATAACCTTTCTCGTCAACCCCATCAACAAGCTCGAGTATCGCGGCAGTGTCGAGTGCTTTTGTAAGAAAACCAATAGCAAACCAAGCTCCTCCCTGTCCAAATTCGAGACGCATTTCAGAAGTTTCTTCCTTGCAACCAGTTCCTCCATTACCGCCACCACATTTTCGGGATTCTTACTCGCTAACACTGATACAAGAGCATCCTTGTGCCTGAACTTCTTCAACAGTTTGTCATGCTCTGTCAACTTCACCTTCTTCGGTTTCATAAGAAGGTAATCTCCCTCGGTTGGCTTCTCCCCTTGACCTCGATGGAAGTATCGGAAGTTAGAAGGCCTCAAAGCTCGCCTCTGAGGTTCCCCAACAGACCCCAGGCTCCAAGTGTTCGACAAATTACTCGGCGTAGTTTCCTTAGGCTTCCTCTTGCCAGCATATAAGACCCCATTTGAAGTCCCTATAACTCTAGTACTACAGTCAGGAGAAAACCCAATTGACATAAGGGGTGACGGGAATCTCATGGAGTGGGTTACTTTCATTTTTGAATAATCAAACACCTTCATATACCCATCCAGTGCTACACTCAAGATTCTAAATTGGTCTGATTCTTCTCCACTATCATTGCCCATTTTCCCAACACATAGTGAAGTAACAGTTTTATTATGACTCTCCATAGAGCAAATCATCTTCCCACCTCCAATCACATCCCAGATTTTCACATAATTGCCCCCAGCAGTTGCAACTAACCCACCTGATGGTAAGAAAATCACATCCTCGACCGGTTTCCCGTGATTCATTTCCAAAACCGTTTGTGAATTCGTTCTGGCATCCCAGAGCTTCACCATGTGATCGTAAGACCCAGTGATAAACATGTCCATGCTGGATGGGGAGCAAGCCCCACACCTCACATAGTCCTTATGGCCCAGGAAATCCGAGATTGGAGTCTGGCTCGCCACGTCCCAGTACTTAACAACGGCATCATCCCCACCAGATACTAGGTGCAGCTTATCAAGGACAGGGTACTGGACGAACTGAACTGGGCGCGAGTGGGAACGAAGCTTTCGAAGTGGGGTTCGGCTTTTAACATCAAAGACTTGGACAAGCCCCGAAAGGTCAGAAGCAGCAATGAGGAGGCCATCACAGCGGAATGAAGCACAAGATACAACATCTCGAAAAGACGAGATGGTAGAGGTGGGGGCCATCGTTTGCGTGCTAAAGAGAGTGAGAGAGGCTGAGTGTGTGGCAGAGAAAATGGAAGGATTCGATGGTGAGAATGCGATGGAGGATATGGAGGAAACAAGGTTCGGGATCTCATTACGCTTGAAAGAGGACCAATATTTTGATTCCGGCGTTTGTTTAGGTGTCCTGGGCTTAGATTTGAGCTTTGGTTTAACCGGGAAGCTTTTTGTTATGCTCAAAGAATTAGGCTCTGCCATGTTTTGACTTGAAATCAGACCCTCCTCACTTAATCTACAGCGTGAAAATGTAGAGAACATACATAAGTGTAAAATGCGGGAAAATATACAATCAAGGAAAGCCACAGTAGTTGCTCAGATGCACAAACATGATACATTCCAGATAATCTAGTTAAGCAAACAAAGTAAAACATATTTCAAAAACAATTCATTAATTCTAATTCCATATTCTTGACTGTTGATATAGTGAAATCTAATCGTGCCAACACCCAAAACATCAAAATAACCTAAAAGCTTACTAATTAAGATAATTCAAACAAAAATTCGACCATACCAGAAGCATCCCTTAAACTTTTGCGTTATTGTTATCTCCAATACTTCCTCAAAATCCCACTACCCATTCAGAAAACTGTGGGAAAACGCAGATTTAACATGATTCTGTACAAAGAAATCGAAAAGGGGGAAGCGACTGAAAGTAAATGTTGATATACCCACCGATTGGATTGTCGCCGCCTGCCGGTC